GTTTAACTTACTGTCCAAAATGTGAAAAGCCTTGTGCCATTATCTCCGTACAGCTCTGGATTCACCTAATTGTCCACATCAATAGAAAAGAGTATCGCAGGTAAGCACATGAGAAATTAAAACTTAGTTTGATATTATATTTTCTGAAATAAGTTTAGTTAGTGCTTTTTTTTTTTTGGGAAAAAATAATCATTTACTTCCTGTAACGTTGACTCAATTATAATTTGATTCTGGAGATTTAAACTCTTCCAATCCCTTAAATTCCAACCTATTAATCAATCAGTCCCAACATTTCAAGAATATCAGCTATGCTTCAAGGATTAATTGAGGCATGATCAAATCGAAAAGTATAGAGACTAAAGGATTCAATAGCTAAAACTTAAGGGACTGAATTTTATCGGATTAAATTTCAAGAACTGATGAATTGTGACTGAACCAAAATTACAGGATTAAATGATTAATTGTCTTCATTTTCTTGAGAAATTAAAGAGTATACCTGCCACCCCGCATGAATGCCATCGTAATTACTGGTATCACCATTTTGAATCCACACTTTAGAGTTACTAAATTCATTAAGCTCTTCAACACTGGGATTTTAAACGTTCATAGTTGCCTTGCCTCCATAGTATTTATCTCCCTCTGTATAAACTGCCGCAAACTTTTTTACCAAAAAAAAACTGCCGCAAACTAGACAAACCAAATTAGTCAAAGAAACTTGACCAAAAGAACATTAAATAGTAAAACAAAAAAATCCAACAAAAGAGCTCTGTTAATGCATATAATAAACACATAAATTGACTGCCTTCTGAGGTATAATACCTGGCTTTGAGCTTGAGTTTGAAAAGATTTAAGCTTTGGGATGCTCTTCTGATTGTTTTTCCCCTATTGTTGGAAAGAGTTTGCCCTCAATATGTCATTTTTTCTTATCCTTCTCATAGGAATGGTTCCTTTTGGACAATTTCCTCTTTGCATACGTAACTGAGCAATTGGTGGCTTTGGCTTTTTTGAAGATACTACTCTACTTTCTTTGAGCATGCTTCCTTCTGGGTGAAAACTAGGTCTCATCTTCAATAAAGCAAGAAAATATTCAGCTTTAAATTTGTGAATAAGAGAGAAAGCTAGAAAATGGAAGGGTGCATATTGCTTTACCTTAATTTTCTCATTTATGAGTTTGGGATCACTAAAAGCTGGCTGATTTGAAATATTGACACAGTCAATTATATCTCCATCAGGACTCTGACTTGAATAAGGCGGAAAGCCTCTTGAGTATGAAATCAATATATCTGAATACAAATCTTAGTCAGGACTACTAACTGATATTGGTAAAACCTAAGAAAGAAAGAACTGTACTATCTCGATAGATTTAACAGCTGGTCCGTTCAATTTCCTCAAAAGCTTCTGAATATTAAGATTTTGATGGTAGTTACCATCCTTCATGTGTTGGTCTGCTATAGTCATAGACACCGACAACGACCAGAAGGATAAAAAGACATTCAGTGGCCAAGTCTTCCCACCTGCAAAATTTGCCGCCATTATTGAATATGAGGAAAAGATAATGAAGTTAGCACCTTGGTATATGATATGCGATAGGATGTGTGTGTGTGTGTGTTCATAAAACACACCAAAAACATAATTGAAATTCAAAGAATCCAAACCACCAAGAACATAATTGTAGTCCATTGATAAAATTTATAAACTAATTAACATAATTTTCCATATGAAATATATAAACTAATTAAAACCTAAAAATGTAGATATATTTAAAAGCAAATAATAAAAGATATTAGGGAATAACCAATAAGCTGTTGATTAAGATGGTTTCACTCCCATAAGAAGGAGAATACAAGTTTGAATCCCGAGATGTGCACTTGTTAGAAGGATAGAGATTATTCTCTAACTCAAAGTGGTTTGAGAATGCTCTAAGTCATACTTAAAAGAAAAAGGGTATTAGGGAATAAAAAGTTATAACTGATCGATATCACAATCTTTAGTTCTTTAAATTTGTTTTAAAACAGATGCTTCTTGAAGTATGAAAAACATGTTGAAAATTATTTGTTTTTGTGAAAAATGTAATTATTTGGATACTTTTCATATGTGTGTGCATGTGGATACGGATGTACTATTAATGAGAAAATCTGATAACAACAATCGTTGGATGTTTCTAATAAGGTTCATGCGCGTCGTACATGCAGAGAGAATAATACAGTATTATATTGGTCCCTCCCGTGCGTCGTCTTTCCTAGGCATCATTTTGGTTCATTAAATTCGTTGATAACCATACAAACATTTAAGTATGTATTTTGTTTGGAAAAAAATTGTACTCTTATAATATATAGCCTTTTTTTTTTTTTTTGGGTTGGAAACCTTTTCTTGATTTCGAGCACGGAACCTCCAAATTAAATCCTCGTGAATGTACCATGAAGACTAAATCTGTTAGTTATTAGAAACTTTTCCGTTACCCAAAATATTTATGCTTGGATGAAATTTAATGTAAATAAAATCTATTCCTTATTATTTATATTCATTCTTTACCTTGTATATATATTTTTTCTTTTACATATAAAGTATTATAATAGCCTAATTGTATATTATTGGAGGACACATATTTCATTGAAAAGAGTTAAAATCATAATATAATGTGTATATTAAAATATAAAAATATAATCAGTGTTCGTTAAATTGAATTGAAGCAGATGATTCAATCAGAAATTACTAGTGAACCAACGGTAGGACTGATTGTGAACTAGAGGGTCAATCATTTTAAGAATCGCCCAAACGATCAAAAAATTTAAAAAGCTAGCTAGCTTTATTGATTTGATCCGTCCAAACTAAAAAAAGAAAAGAAAAGAAACAATTAAATTGTTTTTTGGGGTTAGCAATTAAATTTTTTTTTTTTGTTATTGGTACAAAATGGCATAATTTTTTGGAGTATAAAGAAATGGCATCATTTTTGTAACACATTGTTTGCGCTTAATTATTAATGATTATGAATTTACTTAATGGACGCCATATAGTTTATTTGCTGCCTTTTTTTTTTTAAAGTGTGATTTGAGATTTGAGATTATGGAGGACTATAAACTCAGTGCTTACATTTAATCCTTTAATTTTATATATAAATTTTTAGTCTAATTTCTTAATTTTATAAAGTATCTTTTTAATTCTTTAATCTGACAATCTCAGTTTTAAATGATTTTTTTTATACCAATTATTATTATTGTTGGAGGTTAAACTTCACATCTGTCAACAATTAAAACTTCGATCTGAGAATTTCTTGTTAACTGTGTTAATGTTAGAAGAATTAAAAGATATTTTATAAAAATTAAATAATCAAAATGAAGTCTTAAATAAAGTAAAAGATCAAAGATACACTTATGCCAAACATTTCAATTACAAAATTATATGTTACGTTTTGCTATAAAAAATATATTAATTTCATTCCCACCAGATTCAATCATCATTTTTTTTTATGCATGGGTATCCTCTGATTCAAAGTACTGTCAGGTATTAAAATTGAACACCTCTCCTATTAAAAATTCAAATTTTAGTTCGCGGACTAGTCCAAAATAATCAAACCATGCATCCTGAGTTATCAACCACTGCTCTTTTAGTTGTCAATACAAACTTAAAAAAAAAAAAAGATAATTTGATAATTAAACAAAAAATTTATTGCAAAAAGGTCCCTTGAGACTTCAGAATAATTTCGTAATTTTAAGAGACTTTTTTGTATTTAATTCCCTTGGATGGGACCTAAAGCAATTTTCCCTTGAAACATTGATTTGGCTCGTTTGACCAGTCCCATTTTAAAAAGAATAAAACTGAAATATTATCAATAAACTACATAGAGGCATATATATATATTGTTATGTTTTTTACCAGCAAGATTATGGATTTTTTTTTTAACCTTAAGCAAGATTATGGAATTGATTCTTATAGATATTGGTTATTAAAATATTATTATAACGTATCCTTAACCTCATGTTTGCATTGAGAGAAAATAGAGGAGGAAAGAAAATGAAAGAGGAAAATAAGAGAAGAAATGAGTTTTCCTCCATTTGGATGAAGGGAGAAAAGTTAGAGGAAAGAAAAGTAAAGAAGAAAATAGGATGTGAGACCCACTTTATTTTCTCTTCAACTTTTCTCTCCACATATGGAGAGAAAATGAGAAGAAAACTCATATTTCCTATATGCCCTCCTCAAATATATATAATCCAATAATATCACATTCCACCTTTAATACAAGTTTTTCTTTTTAATTTTACTTATGACTACTTCATAATTCAACAAAATTATCTCATTATATTGAAGCCAAAATCAAAAGCTACACATGAACTTCATTCTTTCACATTCAACGAACAATACAAGAAATTCGCACAAATTAATATATATATATATAATTTCTTCATCTCTTTCAACTTTTATATTAAATTTTTACTATTTATTAATAATCTTAAATAATACGTAACTTGTATCATTTCATTATGTTTGATTTTAAAAAAATTATCCACTTTTTTTTCACCTTTAAAAAGAATATTTTTTACTAAATTATTTGGTTTTTACAATATAATCACATGGTAATAAATTTTTATCAAATAATTTGATTTTAAATTATTTAATGATATTAACACTAATATGATTTTTTATTATGATATTTAATTTAATTTATAACATGATATATTTTGATACAAGAATAAAGGTATTTTACATATTCACATGTTTGCTCATTTTCTTTCCTTCTTATTTTCCCTCGCGCATCCAAACATAAAGGAAGATAACATTTTCTCTCCAGTTTTCTCTTCTCTCCATTTTCTCTCCTTGTATTTTCTTTTCTCCCGACTTTTCTTTCCATCCAAACAGTAATTGATATCAGAGGCATTTTTGCAAAGAAAATCCCGTCGAATCATAAAACAACTTCACTTTTGAATGGTGGAGAACATCTCATAAATCCCTGACCTTTCGAATCCCCAACATATCGATTCGAGAATTCTTACGAAGGTCCTTCAATGGCAGCAGAATCAGAAGAAGCCAAGACTTGGGTGGGGAATATGTTATGCTTCTTCTTGCTGTTTTCTGCATCCATGGCCATAATAGACCAAGGCAGGGACGGTAGTTCTAATTACCAGAATCTTGAGATTCAGAAGCTTTCGAAGAAGTTGAACAGACCAGCAGTTAAATCTATAAAGGTAAACGATTTTATAACTACGACTGTATTTGACTCTTATTTGAACTTTATCTGAATATTGTTTCTCATCAGAGTCCTTAACAATGGGTGAAAGAACAAGAATTACATTTCTGGTTTAATCTTGTGTATTAACCTATCGTGGATCATGTTATTGATTATAACATATTTAACCAAGTAATCTTGTCCTATTATTCTTTCTTGAATGTGTACTTAGATAATGATGAAACTTTGCATGTTTCATACTTTTATTTATCATAACCGTTTGAAATAACATTTGGTATTAATTATAAAAGTCAGAGCCCCGATGGAGATATAATCGATTGTGTTCATATTTCAAATCAACCAGCTTTTACTGACCCAAAGCTCAAAAATCACAAAATTCAAGTATCTATTGAAGATGACACCATGTTTTCACCCTGAAAAAAGTTTGCTTGAGAAAAGTGAAGTGTCTGCAAAATCACAACCTGTTGCTCAATTATGGCAGCAGAGTGGAAGTTGCCCAGAAGAAACCATTCCCATAAGAAGAATAAGAAAGGAAGACATATTGAGGGCAAAATCTATCCAGCAATTTGGAAAGAAGAATCTCAAGAACATCCCTCAACATGGATCATTTGAAACTCATTCCAAACACCAGGTATTCTGTTGCATCTGTGCTTCTCAAGTTTTTCCTAAATACTGAAAGCGTTAGTTTCATTCCAAAGAGAAGCACGTTTATCATTATATGTTTAAGCATGTTTCTGGATTTTTTTCTGGTTTACTTATTTAATATATTTTTAATGTTTCTTTGACAACCTTGGTATCCAGTTTGCTGCAGTTTATGTGAAAGGAGATAAATATCATGGAGGCATGGCAACTATGAACGTTTGGAATCCCCATGTTCAAGAGCACAATGAATTTAGTGACTGTCAAATCTCAATTCTAAACGATAACATTGGTAAAGGTTATAATAGCATTCAAGCTGGTTGGCAGGTATATATTCTTTAATTTATTGAAAAGTTAATTAAAAAGATATGTAAGAATAGAAATTCACATCAAGCAAACATTTCAAGTCATTATCTTTTTTCCAAATATCGTAAATCAGGTCAATCCCCGGCTGTATGGAGATAATAACACCAGATTTTTTACATTTTGGAGAGTGAGTTCGCTTTCTAGTGATTTCTTATTCAAGGCATTCTCTTCATTATTGTTAAATATTTCTTGATTTTATTTTACATTTGATAGGGTGGTTCAGGTGAAAATGCTAGCAGGTGTTATGATCTTCTTTGCTCTGGCTTTATTCAAGTGAACCATCGCGTAGTCGTGGGAGCTGCCATAAGGCCCTTGTCTGCCTATGGAGATAGCAAATCCCAACATGCTATCACCATTCTTGTCTGGAAGGTATACTGATTCTGTTTGTTAGGCTTTTGAGAAATCGAGTTGACTTGATTTAATTCCAAAAAAAGGGCAAAATTCCAACATCAGTTACAGATTTGTAACCAATTTGTGGAAAAGAGCAAATATATTCGCGGAAAAGACCCCATAAATCCCTGAGTTAAGACCAAACAGATTCATCATTCCAACATGCTTTCTACGATTCTTCATATAGGAGTTAGATAACTAATTTGTAAAAATTAAAGAAATTACAACATCCGATGCTTAATATAAGAGCTAATTTGACTTTCAATTTGGTCAAATATATAAGACTCTAATCTATTTTATCTCTTATATTTATCTATTTTTTTTCAAAGTAGTCCTTATAATAGTTACTTCTATTAAAGGTTTCATCAAATTATAGTTCTAACTAATACACATATTAGTAAATGTATTCTAGGAAAGACAACACATATTTGTTACAAATAACTAACATAACAAACTTTTTTAATTTATTTAAATTAGTCCACTAGCTTTTATATTAAAGACCGAAGGTAATAGTTAAATTAGTTATGCCTAAAAAATAAACATTGATTTTTCTTAAATATCCTCTTTGGTCATTTGCATTGAAACTATCTCTTCATGAAAACTCCCTTGACATGTGGATAGAATATGGATAGTTTGGGGGGAAATTATAAATTTGAAAAATAAAATGAATTGAAGTGTTATATTTAGAACTAGAGTAAACTCTCAACTAGTTCGTATATTTAAGATAGGAGGGAGTACATCCCTAGCAATGTCATGTGTGTGTTTTTTGTCTTATTTTGCCAAAAGCAATGTCATGTTGTTAACCAATGATGTATTGTTCTTTTTTGATGAAAATAAGGATTTTGAAAATTGAGGAGGATTAAAAGACTGGAAACTGGTGGCTGCAATATGGCCCTAATAATGAAGTTGTGGGATACTGGCCAGCTTCTCTATTCCCACTTCTATCTGAGAGCGCAACAACAGTAGGATGGGGAGGCGAAGTATTAAACTTAGGATCAAATGGCCAACACACTACAACACAAATGGAAAGTGGTCATTTTGCTCAAGAAGGTTATGGCAAAGCTTGCTTTTTCTGGAATATTAAGGTTGTTAATGGCAACAACCAAACTGTGCCTCCTAATAACATTCGCACTCGTGTTGACCAACCCTACTGTTACCACGTCCAAACTAGCCAATCTAATGACTGGGGCAACTACTCTTTTGGTGGACCTGGAAGAAACCCTAGTTGCCCGTGATCATTCATCTTGAAAAACTCATTTATGTCAAAACGAACCAAAGATAAAGAGCTGTGATTCCGAGGCATTTTATATTGTTTGCATTTTAAATATTTAGATCTCAGAACAGATTTGTTGATGAAAGAAAACCGTTTTCATAACTTTCATTGTTAGAAGTTTAAGATGCCAGCTGGTGCTCCTCAGTGAACAGTTAAAGGGGAAAATGTCTTAATCTTTTTACAATCGATAGCTAAAGTAACCAAAATCACATGAAACAAGCTTAATTATGTATAATATCTTCTCATATTTCTTTAATTTGGGTGTCATAAATGCATTTTGTATATCCTGTTTAGTCGATCAAGGAAACCTGTGATATATTACAAAATTTCATAGAATTTTTTAAATTTTTTCAGGAAAAAAAAAAAGCACATGCATGTTGCTAAAGGCAAATATATTTAAAGTATTGTCAGACACTAAATATAACACTAATGCCTTTTTCAGTAGGAATTTAAATTTTAGTTTATCACGTTATGAAAAATTAGTCTTTTTTATTAGACCCAAACCGTCGTTGATCAACTTTTTAATTTTGATTGTGTTATATTATGTATAAATTTAGATACTCTTTTGACTAAACCTGCCAAGCCATGTGTCGAACAAAATATGAAAAAAACGGGTATCAACGCGGGAATAAGAAATTTGAAAAAAAAAAAAAGGTGTAAAAAACCATGTAAGTTCCAACTTTTCATTATTATTTTATTCATCTATAGTATAGGCATCTCTGCATATGGTGATAACCTTCTACATATATGCCTTCCAAGTGTCAGCTTGTCAATATATTGCATTGCACAGCTGGACTCTGACCAATCCTGCAAAAGATAGACATGTAAATTCAAAGATGTCAGAAAATTTGTTACCATACCTTAAAGGATTGACCATATAACTTTGTTACAAATTACAACAAATGGTATGACTTCTTTTTCAAATTTTATGTAGTATACACACATGAAAATATAAATATATCTTGCGTTTCCCAGAATGTATCGTAAATATAACAAATTATATATGTTTTTTACATAATTGAATGAATTGAATTTAAATCAATATACATAATTCCATCATTAATTATCTTCTTCGGTTGAAATTTTATAGGGAAAATTTCGATTAAGGACTGCATATGAGAATTAATTTTAAACAACCCAAAAAAATTTTGAAATAATACTGCAGAACCAAAGGATCGAATTGAAATTAAAATTAGGAGTAAGATTACAATAATACCTCTCATTTTTATTTTTTAAAAATAAATATTAATGGTCGCCGGAGTTCCAGCCACCGGTGCTCAGGTAGCCGCCTCCGAAGGTTGCAGCTTCGGTGGCCTGAAGTTTTTTTGTATTTATAAAAAAAATGTTTCTCCACATATCTCTAATTTTATAGAAATAAATTAACAAAAGATCAAAGAGATGTTCTTTTTTTTTTTTAAAAGAAAAATTTTTATTTTTATCTTTTGTTTTTTCAAAACTACATGTAATAAAAGCACATTTTAACAATTTTTTTTCTGTTTTTTCCCTCAATAACAAAAAACCGTTCTACAAGGGAAAAATACTGTGCTTTGTTTAAATTTTTTTTTCCCCTCAGTGTGTGGCAAAAGGCAAGCATCGTATGATAATGCGTGAGGTTATGATGATGAATTGGATTAATTACGTTAGTCTCGCGAAAAGATTCAAGACGCCAATAGAAATATTAAATTTAAAAAGTATAAAATAATTGTTAAATTTAACAGATAGTAGTACATAACAATTATCTCATAAATGTAAAATAAATATACCAACTATTTTAAGGTTAAAATTTCTTAAAAATTGTTAAACAGCATTATGTATAAAATAATATTGTGCTTTGTTTTTTGAATTAATAAAATTGACTTGTTTGTCTAAAAAAAATATACCTCTTCAGATAAATCATCTCATATATTGATAGTAATAATTGTTTCTAATTTACAGCATATTGGAATATTATTTTCACACCTTTAGTTATTTTGTTGAAAGCATTCGAAGGTAATCCTCTAGAAAATTTCTTAACAACCAAGGCACTCAATCATTTGATTGAAACAAGTAACTTCTAAAGAATGATTAAGAACTTTCTTGAGTCTCCCTTTGTTCTTCCACGGCAAACTAAGCTAAGCTTCACAATAAAAATTATGTTAATAAAATTTTTAAAAAATAGTAAATTTTATTCAATCTCTAGTCACAATTCATATACTCTTGTATTATGAACTCCAATCAAAATTTCATATAATTTAATGAATGATATAAATTTTGAAACATGACCTTGGAGTGTTGTTTTCGTCTCATTAAAGGCATGGAAAATATCAGTTGCCGGCCTCACCAAAAATTCAAAGATTTTTATTTGACGGAGAATTGTCTTTGATGACCATGGTATGGAAAACCGGACCGGACCGGCCGGTTCAGACCGGAAACCGGCAAACCGGTCACTTGTCCGGTCCGGTTGGTTAACAAAACCGGGATCACAGTGAACCGGCATGACTCGGTTTAACTCGGAGTAAACCGGGATTAACCCGGGTAACCCGCCGGTCTAGATGGGTTAGCCGGGTTTTTTTTCAAAGCTTCCCATGCTCAGAGACAGACCAAACCGTCGCCGGATTCTGCTCTGGAAGTTGAAGTCCGTTGCTGCTGTGACTGTTTCCTCACCGTCGTTCTTCTTAGTGGTAAGATCTCCCTGCAACTCATTAGACTGTTGCCATCATGCTTTACAAAGAGCCTATTAGATCTGTGTGGAAAAGCCATGGACGCCGGTGAAGAAAGAGAGAACAAAATGTAAAAGAATGTTGCCTTGGAAACATGCGCTCTGAATGCTGAAGCGTAGGAAGCTTAAATGAAAAGACCATCCTAGCTACTGAGACTCGTAATGCATGAGAAGAGGAGAGAGGCGAGTGATCACGTGAAAGAAGGAGAATAACAAAGAGAAAAGTCAAAAAAGCAAGAGGAACGTACAGGTGATAGGTAGGAGAAGAAATTAAAAAAAATCATGGAAAGAAAATTCTTGTACATATAAATGTTTTGTAATTTATATATTTATTTAAAGACTGAATACTTTGTTTTCAAAATTAAAATATAAATATTTTTATGTGTTTTAATTAAATTATAATATATTAATTATTACCGGTTTGACCCCGGTCTGACCCACTAACCCTTGAACCACTGTCTTGACCGGTTTAGTGACCGGTCCGGTTTTTAGTACCTTGTTGATGACCCTTTCTGGGGCAATTTGTTTTTGTTTTGCAACTGGGTTAGCCGGCTGTCGTTTCCTAATATTTTTAACATTTCCAAGGCAATATTGATCCCCAGAAACTTCTAGACAAAATTGAATATTAACCCTAAATTTATATTTAATAGCAGTATGCTACTGATATTTTTATCAATATTATTGTATCTGATTATGTTATGCAATTTTGTTATGAAATTATTGTACTCCTCCGATCATTAATATAAAACCTAATTATTAAGTTAATTTTGATCCTAAATATGATATCTATTTTTCATATTTATTAATTTTTCCTAAATTACTCCTATAGATATTGTCTCCATCATAATCAAGTAAGTGAGGGAGGGAGCATATTAAAAAGATGATTATAGTGTTCTAATAAAAACATGTCATTTTTTTTTATAATTAACTAACTTACTTAATTTTTTTAATCTAATCAAATTAGTTAAATAAGTTTTATATTTAGAACTGTGCGAATATCAAAAAAGGATCGTGAGATTTAATTTATAGTACATAGTAGCAGGATGATGGACGCCAGGAGATGGACGCCAGGAGAGGTGCCGACAAAAAGTGAGACGTCATTTACTTTTGAAATGGGAACTAAGAAGATGATAATATTGAGAAAAGTGAAGAAAATGTTTATTGGTGAATAATATTGTTGAATTCAGCAGGCTTATGAATTGCAGCTAGATCGATGACCAGCTTTTGTGGTGTAAAGGTGCGGATATGGTAATTGATCATCTTGTTTGTGCTATCAGTAGTGGATATACACCTGACACATTAACGTCCTTTTTGAGACCACCAAAAGAAAGGAAAATTAAAGATGATTAGTATCAACGAAGATTATATACTACTTTCGATTTAATTATAAAACCTTGTTTATAAACTATAAATAAGGTCTTGTAATTAGAACCGGAAATAATATATTAGAAGAACCAATTATGAACTTGAGGGTGCTTGGCTAACATGACAAGTTTATCTAGATGCTTCAAAAGCCCACAAACTTTGGTTCCTAGCCAAAGAGATTTTTTTTTTTGGGGGGGCTAGGTCAGAGAGCATTTGTTTCAAGAAGGATAATAAAAACAATTTATAGTGCCAAATTTAATCATGAATCGAAAACCACGGGTATCTCATAAACTACCAAACATCCCAATGCATTCCAAAATCAATTATGAACAAAAAAATTATGGTTATCTCATAAGTTACTATCACTTATTTTTCAATTATATTAGCCTCACTATATTTATAATTCACTTTCAATATGTTTCATCATGAAAAACTTTAAATCTCATTAATTCTGCTTTAAAATTTAATATTTTTTTAATTTTATCCCTATTTAATATATACGCTTTCTAAGAAAATAATAATATACATACTAATAAATATAGAATAAAATAATACATCCATGTCAAAAATTTAATAATATACTCCTCCGATCCTTAATATAAGACCCATTTAACTAATTTGATTAGATTAAAGAAATTAGGTAAGTTAGTTAATTATAAGAAAAGTGACACATTTTTCCTAAAAGCATCATAATCATCTTTTTTAATACCCTCTCTCCATCTTCTACTTGATTATAGTCGAGGGAGTATCTATAGGGGTAATTTAGAAAAAATTGATAAATATGATAAATGAGTCTTATATTTAGGACCAAAACCAACTTAAGAATTGAGTTTTATATTAAGGACCGGAGGAGTAAGTTATAATATAAGGGAAAAAAAATCTATCTCTTTGCTTTGTAA